TTTATATTTCAAATCGAAAATATGGATCCTAGCCTTAATTTAAAATTGTGTTAGTAAGTAAGGATTGAATCGACTTCTTTGTACTTTCTCTCTTAGGTTATATGGAAATCCTCTCATACCTTCTCGCACACTTTCAAATTATGTTTTCTTTATGTTCTCTATCAGGAATAACCCATTTATTATGGAATCTTCCTCGATTGGTTAATGGGAAAGATGTCCTCGATGAGCATGTCCCTCAAATGAATAATGCATGAACTTTAAAGAAATTATTATTCCCATAAATATGTAGATTTATCAGAAAAGGTATCTTGCATCATTATATCTATTTCCTCGATATTCCAAGATGATATTTTGTGAACATGTGAACATATGAAATGAATTTGAAAAAGAGTGAAATGTTTCACCAAAAGGCAAGGCAAGAGTGATTTGTAAATTGTAAAAAGTTCCTAATTGCATACGAGGCAATTTTGTATATGCTGAATCAGAGCTACATGGACAAACTTGAGAATCTCAATGTTTTCCCTGACAAGAGTGTTATCAATAGATCTTGTTCTTTGATCTTTCACTAGTTCTTATGATAACTTCAACTTGATTTAGCAAATGAATAGTATGGAGAAAACATCGATGGAATTCTTAAACCTTCTCCAAACTATGGAAATTGGATTGGTTAGATTTCTCATCGAGTTCTAGTTCTCTTCATTCTGAATCTTGGTGGAAATAAGAGAAAACGTTCTAATCCTAAATGGAAAGGATCAGTTTTTTCTTGAACTTCTCATTATGAGGGAATGGAACTGGTATGTCCTATCCTCATAATCATGATTCGAAAAGGCAACTTGCAATCAATGCAATGACAAGGGATCATAAGAAATGAAGTTGCCCTAAGTACTTGGAGATGGTAAAGTCAAATGTTTGAGTTTACATCAAGTACTTGAATAATCAAACTCCAAATACTTTCAATTCATGGACCCTTGATGCATGATGTGATAATCACATTTGGACAATATTATAGGATCAAATGGAAAGAAGGAAGCTTAAGCATTAAGAGCTAAATCCAATCATGGGAATGGACAAATGTTGCATGCCTCGATGATTAAAGATTTTGAGCTTATGCTTAGTAATCGAGTCAAAAGAAATCCATTTATTTTTCATTACTCTTCAGAGATGTCTAGAAACCAAATTTCATTTATGCGTTGTATAAACGTAAATATCAATCTCATTTAAGAATGGAAAGGTAGTATTCCAGTTTATAAAGATGGTGGTTTTATGTTTAAAACATCTTCTTGAAATTGGCATTCATGAAATTGTAGTTTGTTTTTCTAATAATAGTAAGGTTAACTTTAATATTGATTCCTCTAATAGTTTAGATAAGAACATGCTTGTGGCATAATCGCCTTGGCCCCTTAAGTAAGAATTGCATCGCCAAGCTCAAATTGGATCGGGTCTTGGAATCACTCAACTTAGAGTTGGATGATGTATGCGAGTCTTGGTTATTAGAAAGATGACTAAATCACCATTCCAATGGATATGTGAATGATGTGAAGGATTTTTGGATCTTGTACACACTGATGTGTGTTGACCCATCAAATCCGACATAAGGATCGACAAATATGATTGTGTTTATATGATTAAGCATAAGTATGACACCTTGAAAAGTTTCAAAGAGTATCAACACAAAGTAGGGAATCGATTGGATAGGAATATAAAGGGTCTCCAATCCGAAAGGAAAGGAGAATGCCTTGGTATCGAGTTCAATGATTATCATAGAGACTATGGAATAGTTTCCCAATTGGATCCTCCAAGAACATCATACCATAACGGTGTTGCTGAAAGGGAAAACCAAATGTTATATGCTTCGATCTATGATAAGTCATGCTTCACTAACATTTACATTTTGGGAAATATACACTTAAAATTGTAGATCATATTTGAAACCTTGTAACCGATTAAGTTGGTTTTCAAGACACCTCAAGAAATATGTAGTTGGGAAGTTTCTCCAGTTTTAGGTCAGGTGTTGTGAGGTCTTTCATTAGAAAAGAAACCAATGACCAACTTGAATCAAGATCTAAGAAGTGTTACATTGTCGGGTATTCACTGAATACTTTTGATATTTGTTTTAATGACCCATGACAATGTGGTCTTATATCTCAAAAGGAATGTTCCATGAGAGAAAGAACATATACATTTCAAGAAGTTAGTAGGAGTCATATTGACCTTGAAAAAACTCAATAAATGACCGAAATTGAACCTATAGTTGGCACTAGCTCTGAACTTGAAGTTGAAATACTAGTTGATTCAAATGACATTGCCTTACCTCTTCGCAGATCTAGTAGAGTTAGAGCACCTCCCGAGTTTTATGAGTTTCGTTTAACTGCAGAAGGAGACATGTTGACTAGTGATAAAACACTGATCAATTTGGATAGGCCTAATAGATACTAGGAAGCAATGGTGGACCTTGAGGCTACCAATGAGAAGGGTCGAATGATAACAAAATTCAGTCCATGAACGATAACCAACTTTGAAATTGATTGATCCAATGCCTAGTCTTATGACTGTGGGTTGGAACTAGATGTTAAATTTGAAGACTAACATGGATATGAATGTACAAACATTCAAATCGAGTATGGTGAAAGGGGGTTTTGCTCAGACTCAACGAGGAGACATTCTCATTAGTAGCTGAGAAAAGGTTTCTTTAGTTATTTGTTACCATTTTTTGCCTTCTTTGATGATAAGATATGGTAAAATGGATGTTTAAACGACTTTCCTTAACATGAAACTTTCAAAGGATGTATGACACATCCGAAAAGTATTTTAACATATAAAGTATCCAAACAAGGTGTATAAGCTTGAGAAGTGTATTTATAGGTCTAGACAAGCATTGCATGGCAAGGAATAGGTGCTTCCAGGAGAAGAGTCAAAGAGTATTGTCTTTTTAGAAGTACGGAAAAGTATTAAGCACATGTCAAAGCTAGAGGAGTGTTGTTTTCTTCTTGGTATTGCATGTTGATGACAATATTGCTCATAATAAACAATGTCCCTAAATTGCAAAGTACAAAAACTTGGGAATTGTTTCACTGCGATGGACATGGGGAATCGAAATGTTTAGTAGGACTCAGTCAAAGAACATACATAAATGATGTATTGAAAGGTTTCAACTTGGAAAATTCTATGAATAGGATTGTTCCTATGCATCATAGTCACGAGTTGAGTGGATCTCAAAGTTATATGTTCTAGTCATGACAATGATAAGATGAGTCAAGCTCCATATGCTTCAGATATATGATTTATCATGTTCCTATGAATTGTGCTTGTTTTGATGTCTCACATGGCTTGATCATCGTGAGAGAGTATTGAAAATTTACGCGAATGAATCGATAGACAATTGTCAAGAACATTTTAAGGTATTTAAGAGATCTCAAGGATTGGTTGCTTGTAGACAATAGAGAACATGATTAACAAGAGCTAAAGTGACATGAATTTTAGAAATGACTTTGATTCATCGTCTAAATGGATACTTGTGAGAATGAAAGGTTTCATGTAGGAGATGGTGGTAGACTCAACAATGTGAGTAAGACTACATTAGTGCAAGTGAAGTATCTGAGGAGCGTACCTAGACTGAAAAACTTCATACTTGAACTTTGAGTTTTTTTGAGTAACCAATTGACATTGGAAAATATTTTGTGAAGGTACAGTCGTGTTGACTAATGATCATTGAGATAACAGATGGTCAATGCATAGAAAGAGAAAATTCCACTAAATTCAAAAAAAAGTCAAGGATAGAAATGTATTGTGAAGTGAATATCTTTCTAATGGTTTGTTCACAATGGTGATGACCAAAAGAAAACATGATATGCATGCTAAGGGCATAGACATGAGAAATGACGATACCATAGACAATTAGTTTATTATTGTGTTTCATTTTGCGTGTTTCTTCTTGAGTGATTAATTTGCTCGAAACTCTACAATCACCCACACTCTTGGGAGTTAGTATTGAATTAAGATTGTCATGGAGTATTAGTAGATTGGCCATTGTGATTGGGCATGGCATGAAGATTGCTGCTAATACTCATAAGTATTTAATTATTCGAACAAACTGCTCGCTTAGAGATTACTTCATGGATTCTATCATGATTTTGAGAGGATAATATATTATATTCTTCAAGAAATGATGCATAACTTGTAGTTTGCAAATCTGTTGTACATTGGTATTAAATAGACGTACCCGTAAGTGGATGTTATAAAATGTAGTTTCATGCATAACATGATGAATCAAGGTTATAATTATGTAGTCGGAGTTTATTCGTTTCTTTTTCCTTAAGAGGAAAAGTGTTATCTTTGTGCCCCTTTCTGATTTGATGTTGATGTTAATATGTTAGGCCTAGTTCATACTAAATTGATGTGTTCAATTTGTAGTCTGAATTTAGTTATCATAAATCGAAAATCGGGAAACAGAATATTGGAATATGAGATTGATATGTATCCATGTCTCGTGTCCATACAATATCTTGCAAAATGAAGGAATAGCTTATCAATTATCAAAGCGCCAACATTTGATTATTTCAGAGTTCGGCAGTGACTGTGGAAGGCACATTTTGCTAGTTATTCGAAGTCTATATTTGCATTTATAGTTCATGACTAGTCCAAGTGATAGATTGTTGGAATAGGTGTCTAAGGTTATAACTAAATTGGTCAAGATTATAATTAAATTGGTATAACTTTATGGAATACATGTAAATTCCTTTTTGGGTTTCCCTTAATAATTACAAAAAGCTAGAAATGACTTTAGCAAAGAGATAAAGTGATTTGTTAATTTATTATATGATTAATAAATTAATTAAAAATGATTGGAATTAATTAATCATTAATCATAATTAATATGGAATTAATTAAAAGGCTAAATTATTAATCCTATTATAAACTCGACGTTCTTTCAATCTGGGCCTCATAAACATCGCCTCCTGCTTCTTCTCCCCACGATCCCGTCTCTACCCACAACTGCGTCCATGCCTGTAACTGCCGCATCAGTTCGTCCTCATCCGCCTATAAATTGATGGTTCGCTGTTAGATATGTTTACAGCTTTCAATTGGTAAAAACAGTTGCTTCAGTTGATCCTATGGCTTCCAATTCGTCTGACATACCTTCACCTAAGGTAAAAATTCAATTGTGTAATCGATTTCGATTCTTTGTATTTCATTTGCATTTGTTTGCGGTTGCCATTCTTTTTGTTGTCTGATTCATCGATGGAAATTAATGTCATGTATGTTGCTCTTAATAAGCTTCGATTCAGCATGTCTCCTTCTTTGACCTTTCCCAATCTCTCATAAACCCCACATAAGAACAACCATTTAACATCTATGCATGATTCCTTCGTTGTTGCTCCTTCGTTTTATAGGTACGTCTTCTTCCTTACCGGCGGTGGCTACTACAGGTACGTTTTGCGACTCATCCTACAACCCTAATTCACGATTATTGTTGACTCATTAGTATAAATACATCCACAATCTCCACCTATTCCTTCTACAAACTCATAGTGTGCATGATTTGTGCAACTCATTGAAGAATTAATGTTCAGTAGGGGTTTTGATTGTGATTATCTTCCCATTCTTATTTGTTTCTGGGTTTTTGATGCTTTACGTGAATTTTTTAGTTTGCGATTTTAATCTTTTTTGGGGAGAAAGTTCGATTTTGGTAGTTGATCCGCTTGGCGTTCTCTCACTTGACATCACTCTATACTTCTATTTTTTTAGTTAATTTTACAGATATCTAGAAGGAGGCCTAGATGTTCACTATAAACAATACTTTCCAATTTCAAGAAGGTAACTTTATTTTCAAGACAATAGTTAGCGACCTCTAGCTATCAACGACAACTATCATATTTAGTAATTTCGTGTTGTGTCTGTGTTATGTGCAGACTACATGGTTTGATGCTCGATTTTGTTGATGTTTTGTATTTTGTTTCAAGTGAAAGAGGTAAAGAACTATGTTGGTATGTGTTCTACTGCAGCCTGATGCTTTATTCTAGCCCTAATTTATAGTTATTTTCCAATATCTTTTTAATATTTGTTTTTTATTCTAAAAGGTGCAACAAAAAGGAGATTTATTTGTATTTTTTAAAATCTGTGGAGTGAATTTGATCGATTTGATGATTTTCTGAAGATAAATAGGATTATGGTGTAATTTCTGATGAAGATCTTGGACAGTTTAAGAAGGAGATAGAGTTGGTCCCACCAGGTTAATTGGATATTTCTTATCGTTTAACTCATATATTTTATGATGATTTAAATGAAAATTTTTATGGTTAATGATTCAAGGGTGTTGTTTTAATCAATCTTCTTTAATTTGGGTTTTTGGAAACAACCGATTGATTCAATCCAAACAAAGACATTATAATTGGCATCATCTAGCATCCTTAAAAAAAGCAAATGACATTTCCCTTTTCAAATATTTTGGTTGAATACATGATTCTGATTTTGATGCAGCTTGACAGAAGCATGTATCCAGATCTTGGAGATTTTGGTTTGTCTGAATACAAACAAGATCTTAAGCAAGTCACACCGGAAGGAATATTTTTACAAGGGGAAGATGGAAGCCAATGCATGTTCTTTTTTTTTTTTCTTTTGAAAATGACAAAAAAAGGGTATTATGGTCTTTTTGTTTGTTTACATTTAATTGCAATACATAATATGAAGGCTGTCTTCAGCATCGAGTCCAAGATTGGCAGGGGAAAGGATATTCTTTGTTGTTTTAATGATTTGTTGCAATTCCACTTTTAAGGGGTATTTTGGTCCATTTCTGCATTTATTAAAGAAAATCCTCATTTTTTAAGACATGTGTATGTAATACTAAAAATGTAAAAATAAAGAAAGTAATGTGTTTATGGAAAATGCCAGATAAATCAATGTGCATCCATTAGTTAACTTACTTTTACAGAAAAATGCATATTAAATAATTGTACTTTTTTTAGATAACTAACCATTTTTTAAAGCATTTGGTAATACAAAAACTCTGCCGGTTTCAGAATGTCGACGGGACGGTTCAATTGCGGACAAGAGCATGATCAGAAAATTGAATATGGTGAAACACTTTTTTGGGGTGGGGGTTGATTCACTGTTGAATACAAGAAACAAAAAAAACTATTTAACCATTTATTCCTTGTATATTGTATAAATAATCTTGCATTGTAAATTGTATTTTACTTAACTATGTTATTTGTTTTAATCTATTAATAAGTTATCCAAATAAGCGTCAAAGGTGCATTATATGAAAGTAGCATATGGTTACAGCTGTTTAAAATGGGGGGGGGGGGGGGGGGGGGGGTATAAATCCACAGGGGTATAATTTGGCAGGGGCAAAACTGTCATATTTATATAATTAGCTTACAAAACTGTCTTAGTTGTTTTAATGATTTGTTGCAATTCCACTTTTAAGGGGTATTTTGGTCCATTTCTACATTTATTAAAGAAAATCCTTATTTTTTAATATTGCTTTTGTATCAATTTTATTTGATTGATTGCATACAACAAAAGCGATTTTATCTAATACTAAAAATGTAAAAATAAACAAAGTAATTTATTTATGGAAAATGCAAGATAAAGGTATGTGCATCCGTTGGATTTTGTAATTCAATAGTACAAGGGCAAAATGGACATTTTAGAAATATAACCAACATTCCTCATGTTAATCTAATAGGAAATGATATATTTTTATAAGATTAACATTTAACCAAAAACACATACTCTCTCTTCAGTGAATGATTGAGGTTATTGTAGGTATAAGGAAAGGAAACATTGGTTTGCCTTGTATGTTCTTTTTATTGAAAATGACAATAAGGGTTTTATGGTCTTTTTTTTGTATATATTTAGTAATAATTTGAAGGTTGTGTGAAGCATCGACTCCAAGATAATTCTAGATATTATTTCAGAATATGAAAAATAATCGGGTAGATTTGTCATTTTCATTGCTAACATGGGAACAAATAAAAAAAATATGCTATAAAACAATGTAAAATCAATATATTGTACTTATACATTTGTCAATCTGTCCACCGGATAGGTATGAAACTAGTTATAATTGTTCATAATTAAGCAAGGAAGTTGTAACACACGGTTCAGGTATGAACTAATCCATCATATTTTAAGTCTTCATTTTAGGTGGCCACGACGTGGTGGAGCCTCACCACGGAGTGGTGATGTTTTCAAAGATCACGGGATTTAAAAGATCCGCCACGGCATGGCCATATGTGCCACGACGTTGCAGTTGTATTTAATGAAACCCTAATTTCCAGGCTTTGCGCCTTATTTAAGCGAATGAGGAGGCTAGGGTTTATTCATCCTTAGCCTCCATCACTCTCAAACCCTCGGAAACCCTTACCCTTATCTTCTTTGAAGCTTTTGAAGCTCTTTTGCTAGATTTTGGTGATTTTAAAGAGAGTGGAGGAATATTTTGTGCAAGAGACCAACAAAAAACACTCCCCAACCTCTGAAAGCATCTTGTTGGATCATTTGTAAGGCTCTTGATCTAGTCTTTTATCTTTTACTTGTAGATCAAGAGTTATTTTGCTTAATAATGTAACATCCGGATTTTTGGAGATATTTAAATGTAATCTATTTTGGATTTTAGGCGGTACCACGTCGTGGTGAAGGCATCCCACGACGTGGTGATGGTTTATGTATCACGGGTTTCAAATGACCACCACGGCGTGTCATCCTATGGCCACGGTGTGACAGCTGTTTAATGAGAAACTTTAATATTCGGGGTTCGCACCCTATTTAAGGGAATGTAATGGCTAGGGTTGCTCACCCTCAACCTCCATCACACTCACTCAGTCTCCAAGCAAACCATAATCTCCATTTTTGCTCTCTAAGCTTTTTTTTTTTGTTGATTTTTAGGGATTAGAAGAAGAAGGAGGTGACTTCTAGACTTGGATTTAGCAAATAACTATTCTCACCATCTTATTGTGCATCTTTTGGACTCTTGTAGGTCCTGAAGTTCCAAGCTTTTTGGTTTGTTGTGCATAGATATAGGTTTCTATGCCTTAATCTTCATGTCCTTGATTATTGGGTAGTGAGATATCATAAAGTTTGCAACTTTATGAATCTCCAGGTCATTTTGGGCCTTTGATGCTTTTGATCTGGAGTAATATTGAGTTTTAGCATCATGTATGGAAGATTTGGCCAAAAACCCTCATTTGGACCTAATAGAGTCCAAGACATGCATTAGACATGCATGTTTAGAAAGTAAGGATTTTTATGTTGTTATTTGATGCTAGAAACGTTCTAGAAATGGAGATCTAGTAGTCTTCAAGTGAAAGTGCATAATGGGCAAAGCCAAGTTAGGTTTTTGCCCTATTTAGATCTAGAAATGGGATCTCTATCCCTTAGAGAGTATAAAGGGATAAAGTTAGAAACTTTATCCACTTGGATCTTAGAATGGACCAGCTATGGGCTTTGAATCCCTTAAGATTAAGGAAATTGACTTAATCCATTAAGCTGTTGGGAGTGCAGTGCCCACGACATGGCCTAGGTTTCCATGGCGTGGCGGTTGGGCTCAGACTCGCCTGTTTTGTCATTTAGTGGCCACGACGTGGCAACCTACTATAATTAACTTTGACTTTGACCAAGTTTGACTCAAGGGTATTTTGGGTATTTTGAGTTGTATTTGAGATTGGTCACTATTTGATGAATCGGTGACGGGTAGAGCTGATATTCGGAGCGCAGACCTATTCAGCGATTTGTTCAGACTTCGGGCTGAGAGGTGAGATTTCGTCACTGTACTTGTGGGTCGAAGGCACCAATTCCTGCCCATTGGGTTATGTATGTGGTTATATAGGATGATGTTATACTGGTTATATAATAGATTATTAGATATGTATGATTACCTGTATTTACTGGATATGTGTTTATGTTTATATGTTATATATGTCGACATTTTGTAGTTGGGTTGAGGTGGTTCTGCTTTGTGCTGAAGGCCAAGACACCCGGGCCGCTCCGGATAGGCTGTAGGCCCTGGGAGGCAGTTAAGTTAGGCCGAAGGCCCGGAGAGCGGTCAAAATAGGTTGTAGGCCCTGCGAGGCTGTCCAGTCAGGCTGAAGGCTCATATTTGCATGTTGTTGGTTGTTATGTTGTGTGGTGGTGCTTTGGGGGAACTCACTAAGCTTTGGCTTACGATTTCAGTTTATTTTTTAGGTACTCTAGAGGATCATGGGAAAGAAAAGACATGATCGTGCACGTCTTCCTGTTTTTATGACATTGGATCTTGAGATACTCTGATTATGATTATACTTTTAAAACAATGGTCTTTTTGTAAACACTTTATGGTTGATAGGTTGTTTTTGAAAAATTTAAATTTCTAAGATTTTTGGGATGTTAGAAGTTGATATCAGAGCCTTGGTTTGATAGAATTGGATAAACATTCGTGTGAATCCATACTCAAAATAAGGAACTACAAAGGTTTTAAAATGGTTTTCAAATTGTTTTCAAAAGTAATCAAGGAAGGATGTGATGTGTACGATCAGTCGGAGCAAGAAAGTATACCCTAAGTTACCCACACTTTTATTTAATATGATGTTTATGGTAGAACTTCATGCTAGTGGTAGGTTAGGGATCTTCAGGAATTGCATGATAGAATTGCTTGTGTATGATGGCTAATAGCATAGGAGGTATTCTTGTATGAAATTGGCATCATGACTATAGTTTCTTAGTATATGCATCATAAGTGTACATAACTAAGATTTTATAGCCTGAGAATGTTTGGTTTAGCCTTATTTCGTTTTCCTTTTCTGGTTGTGGGCTTAAGGTAAAAACAAGTATTCAACTGTCTATAGGATCAAGTGTTATGTATGATTAGCATGGACGAGTGACTGCAGGGTTGGTGGAAGTTTCATGGGTGAGTAGGTGTGTGATCAGTCGGTCAAATGAGGCATGATTGACCACTATCTAGGGAGTGAGGATAGGATGTATGCGAAACCTAGTTGTTGTATCTGTTTTGGGCGGGTGTAATGATATTTGAGAAAAATACAGGAAGGTATGGAAGGTAGTATGGGCCCGTACTACTAAAAGCATAGGTCCCACATGCGTATCAATGAAGTCACAAACCCCAAGGGTTTCGTTTATCTGGAAGGATTTTTATGGTATGAATTGCAGAATTTGTGATAATTTCTGGTTCGTTTTTCGGTATGGTGTTCACGAGGGGATCAGGTTCTGGATCTGGAGCGTGTGGCCAGGGTAGGCCAGGGTTGACTAATGATCAGATTTTGGAGATCATCGCCACTAAGGTGGCTGATGCTGTCCAGAGGTCTATGTCGGAGATGTTTTGTCTATGAAGACGGCTATGATGGAGCTCTTTGATGATCAATATGCTGCTATTTCTGAGGCTGTTGTTGCTACAGCAATCGCAAATGTTTCTACAGAAGGGATTCGAAAGGAAAGATCCTTCCAGTACCGGTACTTCGACAATACGAAGCCCCCGGAGTTCGATGGGGTCTACTAGCCGATTGTGGCAACGAGGTGGTTGTCTGATGTGGAGGGTTGTCTCTTCACATGTTCTTACCCTGCTAACCAGAAGGTCAAGTGCACCCTGAACCTTCTCTGGTCAGGGGCGAAGGATTGGTGAGTGGCTCTTACACTCTTAAGCAGAGAGCTACTGTTACTTGGGAGCAGTTCTCGGAGATGTTCCACACGAGGTATGTTCCCTTGGTGGAGAGGGAGAGGCTGGCTCAGGAGTATCTGGATCTGAGACAAGGGACTAAGATGGTGACAGAGATCACCAAGATGTTTACTGAGAGGATTCTTTTTTGCACTGAGTTTGCTGCTTCTGAGCAGGATCAGAGGACCCGGTACTTGAGCATGCTCAAGACAGATATCCTTCATTTCGTGTCCACCCAACGTTATGGTACTCTCGCTGAGCTTCAGGAGGTCGCGAGGAGGCAGGAGATTGAGATAGAGCTCCAGGTGAAGGTGTTGATACATGAAAAAGTGATCCTTTAGCAATCCGAGATAGAGAATTCCAAAGTAAGATGTCTTCTGAAGTGGAGCTGATTCCGAAGTGACAATCAGTCATAGATGCATCTTTTGTTTCTTATTATTTTGAGTTTGTAATGTGCACTAAATGTTCCTAGTACTATTTTTTTGTAGTTATTTTTTTA